TGAGTGGCAAAAGCACGAGCTGCATCCATTCTGAGCTTTGGATGTGTGTGACCAAATTTGATGGCAGTTTGGTTTCGTGTTTTTGGCTTCACTCCAAACCTAGTGGCACCTCAGAGGAGGTGTTACTCATTCAGAATTTGTGTGGGACACAGACTGAGAGGAAAGTGACCAAAGAGTACCATGAATCCTCAACCTCAGCAGCTGGGGAGTGCTTTGCCACAGCAGCAACGGGCAGGATAGACCCTTTCTGTCTGTGTGCGTACGTGTGTTGGTGTGACACTCATAATACAGCCCTCTGCCAACTCTTGGGTTCTGCCTTCTCTGTTTTTTAGGGCCAGGAGTTGACTATCCGTCAGATTGCTCTTCTTGGCTTCAGAGACTTGGTCTTGCTAAAAGTAAAGTTGGAAGAGATTCTGCCTCTGGTCCGGACAAAGCTCCCAGCTTCCATTGTCCAGATGCTGTTAATTCTGCAGGTGAGCAGCCTCTGCTCCCCTTCATCTGCCTTCCCTTGGGGAGCTCGACCTCACGGAACTCACATGAACCCTGGAAGGGAGAGTGGGGAGGGTAGAGGGTGTGATGAAGGGGAAGTGATGTGTGCTTGTTTGGGAACGGTAAAGGTAGAAATGAGAGCTGAATTGGAACATCCTGAGCTCTCCTGGGAACAGGTAAGGATGTTGCTCTGAAAGGCCCAGGTTCTGCTCTTTGGTGTCTGTATTTTTCTTGGTACCTCTCCTCTGCAGCTAGGAACAGTCTCAGGACATTTTTTTGCACACAAATTTTCGTCTCCCAGCGCTTCTGGATGCCTCTTTGTGCCCTAGTTCTCCTGGTTTCTCAGCTTTGCAATGACAGGGCAAGTCTCACCACAGCAGATCGTGGAATCTGTGGCTTCCCAGTGTTGGCCCCTTGGTGGGCTGGGATGCTGAGCAGTGCCCATGAGAGGAGGAATACCTTTTGGCAGCAGGGAAAATGCTATACACCTTCCAAAGGCCTCTCCAGACCTTCTGTGAGGACTATTCTCTTTATCCAAATTTCAAGAGAATATTTTCCAAGCTTGCCAAGTACAGCCAAGTATACCAGCTGTTTTATCTGTTTATATCACCCAGCCTGTCAGTCCTACAAAATACCGTAATACAGGTGGCTGTTTGGGTTCCTGTCACTTTTATTTCTTCCCTAGTACATGGAGCCTGTGGCAGGGAATTAAACTTTCTGAAGTACAATCAAAATTACAAAGGGGCTAAGCTGGTATTTCTGTGTGAGTTCTCACTGCTCTGATGTTCCCAGTGACCCAGACTGTAACAGCAGGAGATACTAAAGTGCTAGCTCAATTTCCCTGAAATATTTTAATAAAAGACTCTTGAGGGCAAAGAGGGTCTCAAAGCAACACGTTTGAGAAAGAAAAGCTTACTGAGGCTTTGCAGGAAGTTAGGTCTGTGAATGGTTGCTGAAATTACTGTTAAATCTGCTAGTGTTATCTACCATCTTCAGAGCTGTAAGCGGAGCTAGAAAGGGTGCTGTCCCTGCAGTCCTGCCTAGGAAAAGAGGAGTGCTTTGCCCAGGGTGTGTTTAGGGTTCTCCACAAAGAGATGTTTCCTGGTGGAACTGCCCTGCTCCAATTGTATTGCTATAGTTACCTCTGAGGGGGTTGCTGTGCAAGCTCTCAGTGTGAGCGTACCTTGTACCTTCCTATCCCTTGGTCAGGAGAAAGGCAGCTAGCTGCTCGCTGTCCGTAGGGTTATGGCTGTGACTTCAACAAGTGGGTTGACCTGAATGGCACCTGGACCTCCATTTGGGCTTATCAGCTGTGCTCCTTCAGATGGCCTGCTGATACAGTTGGGATAGTCCAGCACAGAGATGTTTGACAGACCCTAGACTTGACTCACAAACCTTGCTCAAACCTATGTAAGGGTAACGTTGACTTTTTACATTTGAATTTCAGAGTGTTCATGAGCCTACTGGCCCCAGTGAGGGCTACCTACAGCTGGAAGAACTGGTCAAGCAGGTGGTATCGCCATACCTGGGCTTGTGTGAGGATCACAGCTTCTCTGGTAGCACCTGCTTGCTTGGTAAGACACGTACATCGTACAGAAGCTGCTGTTGGGGTGCACAGGTTGGTTAATGTGAGGCAGGGAAAAGGAGGCAGCACGTGACTCCATGTGAGACAGAAAACAAAGGCTAAAACACCCGTGAGAGGTCTTGATTAATATGTTTCTGAATGTAGATTTTTAAGATGGGCTTTTATTTTCCATGACTGAGTGAACTATTACAGCCCCAGCACTGCACACACACAGATGTGCAAAGTCTCCCTTCTCTCTGGAGATGGGCTGGACTTTAAAACTCCCTGGTCCACACCTGACCTACTGTCCTCACCCTAGTGAGGAGCTGCAGCCAGTCCTTTGCTGCCTGTTCTCTGTCCCTGCTTGCTAGCTTGCTTCAGGATCCCACACTTGCTGCGTTAGCCAGCAAAGCTGTTGGATGCTTATTCTGAGGGATTGCAGGGTTTTTTGCCTGGAGGCTTCCTTCCGTCTGAGGAATCTGTTTAAAAAAGATAATAATAATAATAAAAAATCTGTGTTTAAACTGTGGATAAATGAGTCTAGGTGAGAGAACTGGCACTTCACTTCAGGAAGGAGAAAACTTCTCCATACATGACCCAGGGGCTCTGCTTGCACAGGTGGCCAGGCAGCAGGGATTGGCTAGCTACAAAATGCCTGTAGTGATACTGATTTGGTGGTCAAGAAGATTTAAATAGAACAAGAGGAGAAAGCTCCGGTCTCCCTCTGTTTTTATAAGCATCAGCCTTTGCTTTGGTGCAAATTGCAGCAAGCTGGAGACACACAAGCTGTCTTGTCCTACACCTTAGCAGCACAGGGGAAGAGATAGGGGGCTGGAAAGAGGGGAAAAGTAGAAGGACTTGCCAGGACTCGGACAGTCTGTGCCTGTAACGAACTCATGGCATCACTTTAGGCAAACGATGGCTCAGGGATTTTGTTCTTGTGGTTGTTGGGCAATTGAGTGTCTTTTATGCGAGTGAACATGGCTGTGGAGTTCAGCACTGATTTGCAGACCTGATCCTGAGGCGAAATCTAGACCACATGCCCCTGTAAATGTTCTTTGGCAAATTGGATTGTTTTGCTCTCTGTGGATATCTGTGTGCTGCTGGGGTAGTTTGAAAGGCAGCTGTACTGAAGTTTCTAGCCATCCAGGATTTCCACCAGCTGAATAAGGAATTAGTGTCATTAAAAAAAAATACAAAATAAAAATTCACACAAACTGGCCTTGTAAAGTTTATGTGCCTTAAAATGATTGTATTTACTTTGACTTTTGCTGGGACAACAGAATGCCGGACCATTGCTGTGCTGCTCTGAAACCGGATAATTCCTGTGGCTCCATCAGATAAAGTTTGAGCACTTTGTCCTTTAACCTCTTTAGTTTATTTTACACCACCACCACCTTCCTCCTCTCGCCTACTGTGAAATTTTATGGTCAGGGATTGACACAGATCAAGGTCTAGGTTATCAGAGGCGCTCAGATAGTTAACCAGCTGGGTTTCCATGTCCACCAGTGAAGTGTTAGTGTTGTCCTGGGTGGTGGGTGAGACTGTTGTAAGTGGAGCTGGAGGGGATTCTTGGTAATTTTCAAAACTGTCCTTTTCTGTCACTTGTTGAACTCTCTGCTGTCTGCTACAGTGTTTCACATGCAGCCCTATCTGAAGCACAGTGTCTGTTTCAGCAGCGCCCTTATCATCCCAAAAGATCATGGTGGCAAGAAGAGTGGGGTGAAGTGCTGCTATTTCTGGGTCAGAAAGTAGCAGCTTGACTGTCACAGAGCAGAAGGGAGGAGAATCATAGAATCACAGACTGGTTTGGGTTGAAGGCACCTTCAAAGGCCCGCGAGTCCAAACCTCTGCAGTGAGCAGGGACATCTTCACTACAGCAGGTTACTGAGAGCCCTGTCCAGCCTGACCTTGAATATCTCCAGGGATAGGGACTCCACTACCTCTCTGGGCAACCTGGGCCAGTGATCTGCCACCCTCATATTGAAAAACATTTTCTTAATATCCAACCTAAATCTCCCCTTCTCTAGTTTAAAACCACTGCCCCTTGTGCTATTGCCACCTGCCCTTGTGAGCAGTTCTCCCCCAGCTTTCTTGGTTTCTCCAAACTCAGGTATGCACTGTGGAGGAACAGCTAGTGGCTGCTTGCCTACTTAACAAAAAAAAAGCCATAAATGTGGGTCTGTGTTTCACAGGAGCCTCAGCACACGCTGCCTGATTCCTAGGTGGGTTTGCACCTCTGCTCAGTGCCAGGCTGGGCTCATTGCAGGGTGTCTGGGTTACAGCAGCCACTTCAGAACAGGCAAACTACGGTCCTTTGCTTTATTTTGGCATGCAGGAGGAGGCGCAGCGCTCCTGTTTCCATGCTGAGGTAGGGCTGAAGGGAAGAGCCTGTGGTCTCCTGAATTACTGTCACTGTTCCCTTTACAATCTCCCCGTCCAGGTTCTGATCATATTCAGAAGCTGAACGATGTCAGATTTTGAAACAGTGGCGTGTGCATCAGCCCTGTGCAGTCTGCTAGTCGGTGAGCGTGTGAAGTGATGGACACAGACTGGCTGGGTTGCAAACTACCGCGGCAGCTGATGTATCTAGTGACACTAGTTGCCTGTTTTACTGTAGCCTCCAAGGACAGAGGACAAGTGACAGAGAAGGATCTCAGGATCTCTTTGCCAGTTCATGTGAAGGCAAGGTCCCCAGGCTGGGCAGGGATAATGTTTTATATATATATATATATATATGTATTTTATTGCTTCCTATATTATGCTAGCTCTTAGTGGACTTTAACCTCTCAGGTCATCAAGCCTGGCTCTTTCAGCAGCACTAAAAGTTTACACCTTTGTAAACTTGTTTCTCATGGGAATATTTTTATTTATCTATTAAGGTAACATCAGGCCATGGCCATGATCTTTCTTTTTCCTGTGTGCCCTGGCTTTTTGGGAAGGGCTGGAAGCTGTCCCTATTTAAGTAAAGCATGTTTTAATTTCGAATGTGTTGTATACGAACAGAAGAACAAAGATTCAGCCCCTGCCTAGAAAATCTGCAGCTGTGGAGTGTGGAAAAGGAGCAGAGTTTTGCGTGGCTCAGCTCAGTTTGATCTCCTCAGACCTCTCTGGTTAGCTAAGGCAACTCTACAGGACAGTGTGAATATTAAATCATGGGATGGGCAAGTGTAAGGAACCATCCCCTCAGAGGCTGCTGAGCTCTCTTTCTCCCTCAGCCCAAGAGCTGAACAGCTCTTAAAGGTGTCTGACCTCCTACTGTAGACAGGAGGTGGGCACCTAAATACATTTAAAGGTCTCAGCCTGGGTTGGTCACGTTGCAAGTATCTGACTGCCCCCACCACTGGCTTCTCTCTTTTGGTATCAATGCTTCATAGAATCCCAGACTGGTTTGGGTGG